GGTGGCCCGTGGGCCAGACACAACCCTGTCAAGGCTCACCGGCCAGCATTTCTGCATGGCCACAGTTAGCTGGGGCTAAGTGGCATGTGCCCACCCCAGCAGAGCATGGGGTCTCCACGGCACATCTGCTCTGAACTGATGACATATTTTAGGAGACCGGCCCCTGAGGCATTTGTGTCTGTGACCCCAGAGTAGACTTTCTCAACGTGCTCGCACTACCTTCCCCTCTCTGGGCACACCCTGTAGGCCCAGCTGGGGTGGGGTGAGGGGTGGGGAATGCAAAGCAGGAAGACGAGGCTGGTCCTCTGGGCTCAGGGGAGACAGACAGTGGTCCCATGGGGCTCTGTCCCACCACCCCCATGCTGCCACTGCATGAGGCTTACCGTGGTCTCCAGGGACTGGTGCTAGTACCCAGGACAGTGCATCCAGCTTCCCTGCCCTGGAGCAGAGAGAGGCGCCCAGGGTGTCTAGAGCCCAGGAGGGCACCCAGGTCAGAGCCACTGTGACTTGAGAGAGAAGGGTCAAGTGAGAAAGGAACCTCCACCCTGGTCAGGAGGGGGCCCAGGAAGGACGCTGGCCACCGTGAGGAGGAGAGAGTATAGGAAGGAGGGAGGGTAGGGAAAAGGGAGGACCAGGATGGGGAGTTGGGAGGAGGAAGGGTGGAGAGGAGGGATGGTGAGGAGAGGGGAGGGCCAGAGGGAGGGAGGCCTGGGGAAGGGGAGTGGACACTAATCTGGGGTCGCCAGAGGGTTTGGGAGGAAGAGACCTGGGGCAAGACAGTGCTGAGAAGCCCAAACCTGCTCCCTCTGTGTGCCCAGTGGGAGGGAGCGCATTTTACAGAACAGAGGGCAGAGCCAGCAAGGAGAGACATCTGTGGGCAATGAGATTCCACCCCATGTCTGTACAGGCTGGGGCAGATTGCCAATTGGCTTTACTTCCCTCGATGCATTTGTCCCTGGGATAGCTCTGGGAGTGGGAACGAATGCTCCCATTCCACAGATGAGAGGTGGAAGCGGAAGTTGCCCAGGGATGCGCCTGGCAACCGATGACAGCTGGGCTCCTGGAGTCCACTGGGATGGCCGAGATTGGGCTTTGGAGCTGGGCTTGGTTTCCTTATCGGTAAGACGAGACATTAATAATCCCCCACAGGGTCACTGGAGGACTGTGTAAGCTTATGTGTATTGGCTAGGCTCGGTGGCTCAGTCTGTAAACCCAGCACTTTGGGAGGCCGAGGTGAGTGGATTGCCTGAGCCCGCGGGTTCGAGACACGCCTGGGCAACTTGGCAAGACCTCATCTTTACAATAAATCAAAAAATTAGCCAGGTGTGGTAGTGCGCTCCTGTAGTTCCGGCTCCTCGGAAGGCTGAGGCGGAAGGATCGCCGGAGCCCAGCAGGTCGAGGCTGCGGTGGCCGGGAGTGGCCATTGCACTCCAGTCTGGGTGACAGAGTGAGACTCCGACTCAAAAAAAAAAGATTATGTGTATCATACAGAGCACAAAACTAGTCAAGGTAGCCTCTCCATAAACACCATCCTCCCTTCTCTGATCCTTTAAAACCTCATGGGGATAAACTCCATGTTTGCAGGACCGACGGACGGTGCCCAGCCTTGGCTGGTACGGGAGTCTCCAGGAACTGCCCAGAGGCAGCTCTGCGTTTATGTCATACCCATGGTGACAAATGTTGCCTATCAGTCCCTGCACCCACAAGCCTGGGGCTGGGTCCCGTATACAAGTTCTCCATCCTTTTCTCAGTCCTGCCTGGTGGTAAAACCCACGTGGAGGATGGGGACACTGAGCATTGCAGAGGTGAGGCACTCACCCCAGGTCCCCAGCCCAGTTTGACCCGGTGTTCTCTCTAGAGCCCCCAACACTGTCATTTTTTTAAGTGACTGTGTTTTTCACTCAACTAAAAAACTGGCCACATAGGAGATGGGAAACCCTTAAGTGAGGTGGGAGCCAAGGGCACTGACTGCCCTCTGGGGTCCTGACCTCACTCTGAGACCCCCTAGGAGGTGGGGTGGGCGCCGCCCCCGGCTCTCTCCCCTCAGATCGGTCAAGCATCACAGCCTGCAGCAGGAAGTCGGGTTACAGATTTCCTTTGACAATGCTCTGCCTTTGGAAATCCCAATTTGAAGTCTGGGAGTTGGCAAGCCTGGGGTCACCTCCCAGGCCCAGCTGCTTCATCCCCCAGCCTTTCTCTAAGCCGGGCTTCTGTGCCTGAGTGAGGACAGCCTAAAAGGTTCCTCAAGCAGCCCCTTAGGATTTTTTTTTTTTTTGAGTTGGAGTCTTACTCTGTTGCCCAGGCTGGAGTGCAGTGACATGATCATAGCTCACTGCAGCCTTGAACTCCTGGGCTCAAGCAATCTTCCCACCTCAGCCTGCCAAACAGCTGGAACTACAGGCACCCACCAAGCCCCGCTATTTTAGGCACTTTTGAGGACACTACCCCTCACACCTCATCCCTAAGTTTTCCTCAGGCTGGCTCTGCCGGTGAAGCCTCCGGGCCGACAGATGGCCCACGCACGCCACCTGGTGGCCAGTTACAGCCAGGCAAGGCCGACGCACCGAGCAGCTTTGAAGCTTCCTAAACTGTAAAAGAGCAGAGGGTCGGGTCAGGACCCTGAAACCCTGGGGGAAAGCAGGAGAGAACGCTGAGGGAGCAAACTGCACCTCCCCACCCTTCCAGACATGAGAGAAAGCCCTGAGATCAGTGAGTGGTGTCAACGGAAGGCATTGCTATTATAAAGCATCTGAGGGAAAAACAAAACAAAAAACCTTGAACTTGCTGTCAGGCAGGTCTGGATTTGAATCCGCGGGTACTTAACCTTATCTCGAGTCCCTAATTTGTGTAGTGGGGCTATTTGGAATCCATCTTGTGGGGCTGCAGACCTCGGTCTGCAAGAGCAGGCAGCCAAGGGAGGTGGCACGGGGAGAGGCTGGATCTGAGATGGAAGCCGCCCGTAGCACTCAGCCCTGGGCCCAGCTCTCAGCTGTGGCTGTGCATGACAAGCACCTGATACCCAGGCAGCGCTTCTCAAAACTGGTCGCTGGACCCCCAGCATCATCATCAATGGGAAACGTGTGGGAAATGCACATTCTCAGGCTCCACCCCAGCCCCGCTGAGGAAATGCACATTCTCCAGGGGGTACCCTAGCACCCTCCAGGCGATGCCGATGCTTGCCATGGGAGAGTGCAGTGCTCAGGACTGGGATTGCTGAGAAAGTGTCTCAGGTGAGTCACCACCTGCGGAGGTTAGGAAAATAACAGACGCCTGGGCCCCATCCCTGATTTTCATTTAGTGGGTCTGAAATGGGATCCAGGCACAGACTGAAATAGCAACTCTGTGGCCAGGCATCATGGCTCAAGCCTGTAATCCCAGCACTTTGGGAGGCTGAGGCAGGAGGATTGCTTGAGACCCGGAGTTTGAAACCAGCCTGGGCAACACAGCGAGACCCATCTCTACCAAAAAAAAAAAAAGTGTTAATTAACTGGTGTGGTGGTATATGTCTGTTAGCCCAGCTTCTCAGAGGGCTGAGGCAAGAGGATTGCTTGAGCCCAGGGGCTTGAGGCTGCAGTGAGCTGTGGTGGCAACACTGTGCTCTAGCCTGGATGATAGAGCAAGACCTTGTCTCTAAAACAAAACAAAACTCTGAACCAGATGTAGTGAAGATGTGGTGGCTCACGCCTATAATCCCAGCACTTTGGGAGGCCAGGGTAGCTGGATTGTTCAAGCCCAGGAGATCAAGACCTGCCTAGACAACATAGGACTTCATCTCTACAAAATATCAAAAAAGAAAAAAATTCACCAGGTATGATGGTGCACAACCAAAGTCCCAGCTACTTGGGAGGCTGAAAGGATTGCCTTAGCCCAGGAGGTCGAGGATGTGGTGAGCTGTGATGGTGCCACTGCACTCCAGCCTGGGCAACACAGTAAGACACTGACTCAAAAACAAACAAACAAAAGCCCTCTGCAGTTGATTCTTTTTTTTTTTTTTGGAGTCAGAGTCTTACTGTTGCCTGGGCTGGAGTGCAGTGGCACGCTCACGGCCACTGCAGCCTCAACCTGCTGGGCTCAGGTGATCCTTCCAACTCAGTCTCCCAAGTAGCTGGAACTACAGGTGCAGACCACCATGCCTGGCTAATTTTTTGATTTATTGTAGAGACGAGGTCTCACCAAGTTGCAAGGACTGGTCTTGAAACCCTGGGTTCAGGTCATCCTCTTGCCTGCAGTTGATTCTCATGAGCAGAGACAGCTCTGTTCTGGGCGCTTCCCCCCACACACTACACCCTTCCCTCTGAGAGCCAAGTCCCTGGAACAGAGTGCAAATTCTCTCCCTGGAGTCCTCTAGATCTCCAGGTCATCCCAGGAATAGCAGTTATGGACATGCAGTGGGTGCTTAAACATCTCATAGGTCTCCTATGAGTTGTTAAAATTCCCCATTTTACAGATGAAGACGCTGAGAGGTTAAGTAATTGGCCCTAGGACCAACAGCTACAAAATGGCAAGGCAAGGGTTCTGGCCTAGTTGTTTCCTGACTCCCAGAGTTCATTAGCATTTCCCCCCACTTCGTTTTACAAATAAGGAGTGACAAGACCACCAGGGGTGGCATCCATGACACTTCCTGTAACCTTGCCTAGATGCTCACAAGTGCTGTGGCACCAATCTCAGGGAACGGACGCCTGAGCCAGGAGCCACCCCAGGAAATGATGCCACTCCTCTGGGCACAGCTGCAACAGGAATAGGCAGGCCAAGGGGGGGATCATAAATTCAGCCACATACCACTTAGATTCCCACAGGATCCAAGCTATTAAGGAAACGGACACTCTGCCTTAACATCAGGCAAACTGGCCCTGACCACTGCGAACCCAGTGCAGGGAGAAGGGAGGAAGGAAGAAGGCAGCCAATGGTGGAGTAGAGAAAATAGAGCGTCATTTTACTACTAAAGAAGCATTTTCCAAAAAACGAGGAAGTTGCTGGCCAAAATCCTCTGGGCCCGGGGCCAGGTGGGAGGAGCTTCAGTTTGACAATGCCAGGCGGGACAGCCCTCCGCGGCTCCGGATTCGCTGGGAGAGCTGGTAAAGCTCCATCGTGGCCCTGGCATCCTCCACGGAGCTGTGGCCATGCCGGCTGTTCTGCAGACACAGTACAGAGGGAGACTTGGGGCGGGGCCTTCCCAGTGCACCCCGATTTCCAGGGCCCTGTGGTTGGTTGGTGGGCGAGAGTCTCCCCGAGGCCGCTGATGCCCTGGACTTGGAGGACTCCACAGGTGGCCGCAGCTGGTCTGGCTTCAGCCCCAGGACCAGAAGCACTAAGCCCAGGCATGAAATCCAGCATCCTGAGGACCAGGCTGTGCCCTCAAGGCGCCTGCAATCGGGTGGGGGGAGCGGAGGCTGCAGACTTGCTGCTAGACACACAGTGCCCCAGCAGCTCTCAGCACACCAAGGAGGGAGTGAGCGAACAACTCCAGCTTGGGGCATGGGAGAGGCTGCTCAGAGAGCTCACGGGTGTCAGTTAAGTGGGGCCAAATGCTGCAAGCACTTAGTGACTGGGGAGAGCTTGTACAACTCAAATAAGAGTTCTGTGAAAAGGAGGAGGGGATATGAGAGACAGTGATGGGAAGAGTGGAAGGCCTTGAATGCTGAGGCAGAAAATCTAGACTTTATGGAAGTCGGGGCCACTCAGTCCAGTCAAGGGAGGCGCAACTACCGTTTTTTTTGGTCTCTGTGTGTGCTATGCTCTAGGCCCATGTTATCTCATTAAAGCTCCGAGCTGGATACAATTATTCTCCCATTTTACCAATGGTGAAACTGAGGCTCACATACAAGCCAGTGAGTTGCGGTTCAGGGACCCGCCCCCTACAGGATCCACCATGCTGGGCAAATTCTCACTGGCATCAACTATCATCTCCCTTTGCATTCATTGCCTAGTCCTGGCTAGCACTCACAGCATGGGGGTTACATGCAGGCTGCTGGGCCTGGTTGCATTTTCTTGGTGTCCCTCTGTCGAGAGGCTTCTTTTTCTACCAAGGGCTCCGCTTCCAGACACCCCAGTCTGGGTGTCGGGGATATCCAATGAGGCAGCCCAGCTCAGAAAGGGTTTCTGTCCTTACTCTGGATAGTCAATAAACAAGTGGGCCGGGCTCATTGGCTCAGCCTGTAATCCCAGCACTGTGGGAGGCCAAGGTGAATGAATTGCCTGAGCCCTGAGCCCGCGGGTTTGAGACCCACCTGGGCAACTTGGCAAGACCTCATCTCTAGAATAAATCAAAAATTAGCTGGGTGTGGTAGCGCGCACCTGTAGTTCCAGTTACTTGAAAGGCTGAGGCGGAAGGATCGCCAGAGCTCAGCAGGTCAAGGCTGCGGTGGCCAGGAGTGTGCCACTGCACTCCAGTCTGGGCGACAGAGTGAAACTCCAATTCAAAAAATAATTAAAATAAGATAAATAAAATAAAAAGCGGGTAGCACAGTGGCTATCCCTGTCCTGGGTGCTGAGCTGGGTGCTCTACATGGATCTTTGCCTATCTGCTCTTTGTCACCGCCCTCACTTGACAGATGAGGAAACTGAGGCACAGGGAAGTTATAGGCTCTGCCATTCTGCTCTATAGAGAAGGAAGCCCAGGACAGAAGCAGAAGGCGGCATAAGCATCCTTCCCTGATCACCAGCATTGGGGGGTGGGGTAGAGAGCCCTGGATTTGGAATTAGACAAACCCAGATTCAAATTCTAGCTCTGGCTGGGCACAGAGGCTCATGTAATGCCAGCACTTTGGGAGACTGAGATGGGAGGGTCCCTTGAAGCTAGGAGTTTGAGACCAGCCTGGGCAACATAGCGAGACCCTGCCTTAAAATTTTTTCTTTTTTTGCCAGGCATGGTGACTTGCACCTGTAATCCCAGCACTTTGGGAAGTGACAGCAAAAGAATTGCTTGAGCCCAGGGGTTTGAGACCAGCCTGGACAAGTTGGTGAGACCTTGTGTCTATAACAAATCAAAAAATTAGCCAGACGTGGTAGCGCTCACATGTGGTTCCAGCTACTTGAAAGGAGGGAGGATCTCCTGAGCCCAGCAGGTCAAAGCTGCAGTGGCCGTGACCATGCCACTGCACTCCAGCCTAGGTGACAGTGAGATTCTGACTCAAAAAAATTTTTTTTCTTTTTTTAAATTTCCAGCTCCCCTGCATATAAGCTCTGTGGCCACGGGCAAGTCACTTTTCCTCTCTGGGCCTCTGTTTCCTCCTCTGTAAAATAGGTCTGATCGTACCTTCCCTAGAGGAATGAGAGAATGTCAATTACCCAGCACCTTCCAAGGGACTTAATAATGAGGGCCCTTCCTTTTCCTGTATGGCCCAGTTCATCTTGCTGGCAGTTTGGGGGAAGCCCACAGGACTACCATTTTATTCCTTTTAGGGGAGGTAACACCACTGCCCATCTGTGACACTCCCCCATGTTAGCTCCTGGTGTCCCGCAGGCCAGTTCTGGTCACAATGATCAATAGCATCACGGGATCAGGGGCTGATTTCTAGGGGCGTCAATGTAGGTACGATCTGGTGGGGATGTTGATGAATCCCTGGAACAATGAGGTTCTGCCCAGGGACAGAGCCCAAAGGGGGGCCTTGGGTCAGGCTCAAGGCCCCAGAGGGATAGCCACAGAGTGACAGGGGCTCTGGGAAGAGCCCAGCCTAACCCTGGTGTGCCATGAGGCTAGCAGGGAAGCCCTGATTCAAGCCTGTTCCCTGCTCTGGACACAGTTCCTGAAGGTGCAGGGTGGGCTTCTTGCTCCCCAGCCCCTCCCCCAGCCAAGAGTCTCCCACACGTTTTGTTCCACTCTCCCCCTACCATGTCCTCCCTCTCCTGCCCTCCTTGATTTAGACTCACCTTCAAGCTCTCCTCAGACCTGACTCCCTGCCCTGCCAGTTCCTTCCTTTGTCCTGCTCCTGGCACTGCCCTTCCTGCCGTCAGACCCGCCCCATCCGTGAGGGCCTCTTGGTTGGATGGGAGGTGGCACATGTGGGTCTGATGGAAATTGGTGCACTGAAAGCCCAGCGTCCTGGACCCTACCATGGGTGCTTTAGACCATTTCCCAGAGTTCTGCAGTGGGAGGAGGCCTCATTATCCACAGGGTGACTGGCTTGATTTCAACAACAAAAACAAACCTTCATTGGGTGTTTTCTTCCCCTGCCCTCATCCTTACTCCACCAGCACTTCCTGGGGTCACCTCTCAAATAAACTTCTTCTTTTTTTTTGAGACAGGGTTTCACTCAGTTGCCCAGGCTGGAGTGCAGCAACATGACCCTGGCTTGCCACAGTCTCTAAGTTCTAAGCTCAAGTGATCTCCCTGCCTCAGCCTCCCAAGTAGTAAGGACGACAGGTGCATGCCACCACGCCTGGCTAATTTTTCTATTTTTTGTAGAGACAAGTTCTCAATTTTTTTGTCCAGGCTGGTCTTGAACTCCAGGCCTTAAGCAATCCTCCCACCTCAGCCTCCCAGAGTGCTGGGCTTACAGGTGTGAGCCACTGCACAGGCTTGCAAATAAACTTCTTGCATTCTGATCCTTGTCTAGAGAAAGCCCAAAGAAAGACACCCTCCCTCTCTTACAAGCACATAGCCTTTCAGGAGTAAAGGGAACAGTCCTCAGGCCAAATATTTGCACCAGAGTGGTTGGGGGTTTTGAGAGTCCAGGAGGGAGGGGCCAGGCCCCCACAGCAAGGGCTGCCAGCAATGCCTCAGGCAGGCTGCCCCAGTGCACTCCCCTATCTGGGGAGGAGAAGGAGAGGCAAAAGGAAAGGAGGAGGGGGAGGGAGAGATGGAAGAAGGGGAGGAGGGGGAAAAGGAGGGGGGAAGTGGAGGAGGGGGAGAAGGGGAAGAAGCAGAGGGCAGGAGGAGGAGGGGAAGGGGAGCAAGAGAGGAGGTAGAGAGGAGGTAGAGAGGGAGAAAGAGGGGGAGAAAGAGGAGGAGAAGGGGAGGAGGGGGCTGGAGGGGGGAAGCAGGCGGGAAGGAGGAGGGCCAAGGTCTCACCTGGATGCTCTTGTGCAGGAGGCGTTCACACAGTACCCGCAGGGAGATGCGTTGGCAGTAGTCTAGCTTGGCCTCGTGCCACAGCAGCCTGTCGGTGGACGTGTCGTAGATGGCGTAGTCCTCCATGTTCTCCTTCAGCGCCTTGAAGTCGTGCTTCAGGTCATGACCCACCACCAGCTTGCCTCTCAGGAGCTGCAGGATCTGGCCAGGAAGACCCCCCCCACACACACACAGACACACACATATATATCACCCAGGGCCCCCTGGGTCGAGGGCAACTTGGTGCAGTCATGGGACTTTCAGGGAGCAGCCCCTCCTAGACTTGCTGTGTGACCTCGGGCCAATTATTATCCCTCTCTAGCCTTGCTTCAAACATATCATCAGGTGAAAAGTGATGACTGGACCAGGCCACCCCTTCACATTCAATAGTTTCCATCTGGGCCAAAAGCCCACCTGGATTCCTTCAGTGACTCAGATGTGTAAATGGCTAGGACCTTCTGAGCACCTTCTATGTGCCGAGCACACATCAAAATACATCACATATATTATGCTGAACAATTCAATTGTGGCAGACAGGATAATAACCTCCCAAAGATGTCCATATCCTAGTGACTATGTTCTATAGCAAAGGGCAATGGGCTTTAGACTGCTAATCAGCTGACCTTTATTATTATTTTTTGAGTTGGAGTCTTACTGTCACCCAGGTTGGAGTGCAGTGCACACTCATGGCCACCACAGCCTCAACATACTGGGCTCAGGCAATCCTTCGCCTTAGCTTTCCAAGTAGCTGGAACTACAGGCATGTGCCACCACTCCTGGCTAATTTTTTTATTTATTGTAGAGATGAGGCCTCACTAAGTTGCCCAGGCTGATCTCAAACACCTGGGCTCAGACAGTTCTCTCACCTCTGCCTCCCAAAGTGCTAGGATTATGGGCCTGAGTCACCGTGCCCAGCCAGATGACCTTAACATAGATTTCCTGGGCCATCCAGGTGAGCCCAACATAATCACAGGGTTCTTAAATGTGGAGGTCAGAATGATCCCATGTGAGAAGTACTCCACATGCTGTCACTGGCTTTGAAGATAAAGAGGCCAGGTGTGGTGGCTCACACCTATAATCTCAGTACTTTGGGAGGCCAAAGTGGGAGAATTACTTGAGCCCAGGAATCGAAGTCCAGCTCGGGCAACATAGCAAGACTTCATTGCTACAAAAAAAAGTTTTAAAAAATTTAGATGGGTATGATGGCGTACACCTGTAGTCCCAACTACTCAGAAGGTTGAGGCACCAGCACCAAAGCAAACCTTCTGAGGATTCTAGCTCCGGCCTTTGAGATGCCTCAGCTGATGAGCTGCCCTGCTCACCCAGCACCTGCCCAGATTGCAGGTGTGTGAGCGACATAAATAGATGTTGTTTTAACCACTAGGTTTTGGGGTGATTTGCTAAGCACCATTAGATAACTCGCAGCTAGTCAGTGGCAGAACCAGGCCCTGAAGCCAGCAGGCTGGCTCTGGAGCCTGCTGGTCACTGCCACACTGCCAGAGAAGCGGGCCTGCTCCAGGCCTCCACCAGCCCAGGGGCTGAGCTGGGGGGACAACCCTGAGAGTGCCCCAGCCTAGTGTCCCCTCTCATGTCCTCTCCCATGTGGACAGCTCCCTCTGCTCTGGCCACGAAGGCCAGTCAGTTTTCCCACTGGACTGCCTTCAGAGAGGATGGGGAGGGGACCAGAAGACAGAATAGGGGCGAGCTATGCTGGGTCCAGTGGAAGAGACAGCTGCTGGCTATTCCAGGTCTGCTTTGGCCAGCCCTCAACAGCCTCCTCATTTTCTGTGCCCCGGGAAGAGTCTTCTTTGGATGGCTAGCACCTTCCCCACAGCCTGCTTCTCTTCTTAGGTGGTGAGTGGCCTCCTGGGACATCATGTGGTCCCTTTTACATATTCTCCCCTGATGACTACAGGAAACTGAGGCTCAGAGATAGGTGACTTGTCCAGGGCCACAGGGTTGCAAACGGAGTCTATGCCCCCACTGTCTTCAGGCAGTTTCATCAGCCTGCTCCATCACCCACATGGTTTTGTTGGAGGCCTCCTTTGGACACAGCCCTCACACCTTAGGGACCAGGAGAGCACACTGGGAGAACAGAGGAGTGTGCTCCCTGAGCCATGCCAGCACTTCTCAAGCCTGAGTGTGCTTAGGGATTACCTGGGGGATGTTGCTAAAATGTAGATCCGAGCCCAGATGTGGAGGCTTATGCCTGTAATCCCAGCACTGTGGGAGGCCAAGATGGGAGGATTGTTTGAGCCCAGGAGTTAGAGATCAGCCTAGGAAACATAGTGAGACCTTGTCTCTACAAAAAATAAAAAAAATTAAGGGGCGTGGGGGTATGCATCTATAATCCCAGCTACTCAGGAGGCTGAGGCAGGAGGATTGCCTGAGCACGAGGCTACAGTGAACCATCATTGTGCCACTGCACTTGAGCCTGGGTGACAGAGTGAGACCCCTAACTCAAAAACAATAACAACAAAAATCATAGATCCAGGAGGTCTGGAGCAGGGCCTGGAATTCCGATTTTTTTTTTTTTTTTTTTGAGTTGGAGTCTCACTCTGTCACGTAGGCTGGAGTGCAGTGGCAGCCTTGACCTGCTGGGCTCAGGTGATCCTTCTGTCTCAGCCTTCCAAGTAGCTGGAACCACAGGCATGCACCGCAATATCTGGCTAATTTTAAAAAATTTATTGTACAGATGAGGTCTCACCGAGTTGCCCAGGTTGGTCTCGAACCCTTGGGCTCACGCAATCCTCTCACCTCTGCCTACCAAAGTGCTGGGATTACAGGTGTGAGTCATTGTGCCTGGCTGGACTCTGCATTTTTTAATAGGCCATGCGATGCTGTTAGATGACAACACAGGCGTTTGACCTCAGAGCAGTGGTTTAGGGGAAACTTCTGTGTGGGGGAAATGGCTCAGCACATGGTGGGACGGGGAGCAGGGCAGGGCGTGGGTGGAGGCATGTGTGGGCGGCTGTGGGTTCTGTGCCTTTCCTCGCCAACATCCTTCATGCTTCTGAACAATGCGGCTTGTTTTCCCCACCTGGCACTTGGCTCAGGCCCAGTTCACACAAAGCCCTGAAGGAACTCCTCCGCCATCCCAGAGGCTGCCGCAGCCAGCTCAGACATAAGGGGGCCCAGTCATCTTGACACAGTTTCCCAGGAGATTCATCATTACTTCCAGAGCCTGAGAGTCCCAGGGGGTGGGGGGAGCCAGGGCGTGGGTCTACTTCAGGCATCATAGAACTCATCATGAGACAAATAAATAAGAGGGGAGGGCAAGCAGAGGGAGGCCAAGGAAGAAGGGCGGGAAGAGAACAGTTTATCTAGCCTGGAGACACCCATGACCCTTCAGGGCAAAGACTGCTGAGACTTGATGTATGGCCTCAGGGACAGCAAAGACCCTCTCTGGACCCCAGTTTTCCCGTTTGTAAAGTGAGGGCCCGAACCACAGAGGTTCAAGTGGCCCCTTAGCAGCCAGGGCTCCCTGACTTTCTGAGGCAGGGCTGGAAAGGAAGCAGAAGGACCTGCAGGAGCCCAGGAGGAGATGGAAAGGTACCAGCAGGCCGAACCTCAGGACTATGTGACCTGCTGGCCACAGGACCTGCCCGGAGTCAGCATCATAAGCCAGGTGTGTCAGACTTCGCCACTGTCAAACACAAGGGGCGGAGACTCTCACATTCCTGGAAAGAACCCGGGTGGGGCTGGGGAAAGAACAATTATTGTTCTCCTCTTAGCAGCCTGGCACTGTGCCAGGTACTTTCTTTACCTGCCACAAGACTCCTCCACGGGATTATACTCAGATCTGGTTTACAGAGGAAGGAGCCGAGGATCAGAGAGGTTAGGAGGCTTGCCCAGGGCACACAGCTAGAGTTGAGACCTGCTATGTGGCGTCTAGATTCACCTGACCCCACGATTGTTATTATAATTGTTATTATACTACCTAGAAAACTGAGGGACAGAGAGCACTGCCAGGCCCATGAAGCACTCAATAAACTGGGAATACAGATAGCCCTATGAGGCAGGGATTTCATACCCCTGGACCAATCACGGTGGTGTGCACTGGGTCATGAATGGGAGAGGGCAGGCCACATCTGCCTGCATTCTCTTTTCGTTGTGTTTCCACTCTATTTCCAAGTATTTCCCAGGTATGCCTGCTCCAAGAAATCAGGAGAGCCCAGCCCTGCTCCAGACCTAGTGAGTCAAAATTGCCAGGGGAGGCGTGTTCACAAATGTTCTAGGGGATTCTTCCTGGCTGATGGGTTTGCACACTTTGGCATTGAAGCCCATAGGCCCAACAGGCCCACTCAGGGCCTGTTGCTTCCACCGATCCATCATTCTAGCTCATGCATCATTCATTCACTCTTGGCTACCAGGCGAGAAGACTTGAGTCAGGGACCCTGAAAAGTCCTTCACAGAGGACCAAGTCCCCTACTGTCATATTCCAGAGTGGCTCAGCCTCACTGTTGCTCCTGTCCCCTGCCAAGCTCTCTGGGTGCCCCTGCCCCTAGCTGGTGCCTGGTTTCCACAAGGCCACTCACCCTGGGGCAAATCTGGATGTTGAAGCCTTTTTCCTCCTTTATCTGGCTGAGCCCCAGCGAGACCTGCCAGGTGGCCAGGCCCCAACAGGATGCTCCAGACCATGCGAAGGCTGCCGTGCTGGCTACAGCTGAAATCACTCCCTGTCACAAGCAACTGTGGCCTCCCTCTGCCCGCACCTCCCTCCTAAACACAATGCTTCACGGTGTAAATGCCATTTATCATGCTGGTCTGACATTGAAAGAGCATTCACTGGCTGGTGTGGTGGCTCACATCTGTACTACCAGAACTTTGAGAGGCCAAGGTGAGAGAATTGCTTGAGGCCAGGAGTTCAAGAACAACTTAGGCAACATAGTGAGACCTCATCTCTTAAAAAAGAAAAAATTAGCTGGGCATGGTGGCACACACCTATAGTTCTAGCTACTTGGGAGGCTGAGGTAGAAGGATTATCTGAGCCTAAGAAGTTGAGGCTGCGGTGAACCATGATTGTGCCACTGTACTTCAGCCTGGGCGACAATGAGACTCTGACTCAAAAAAACCCCAAAAAACAAAACAAAAAAAAAGGGAGGCCCAAACCTTACCTATACAATGACTATTCCACTTGTATACCTAATCCTGAATTGTTC